CCAGGTTCTCAGTACACAGATCGGACTCTTAGTGATTTTCAAGCACTGTGATTATAGGAGGGCGCCACCACGCCCAGTCTCAATTGCCATCTCAGTGCGCCTTGGGGGCCGGCGTGGCGCGCCTGAGATAGAACCCGCGGCTGCGCAGGGGCTTTAGTCTGCTGAGCTATCAGGCCGGCCCTCCGGGCACATCCTGGAGGCGCACTGTGGGTCCTGCTCGTTTTTTCCTTTTCTTATCTGCGTCCTGACCGTGCAGCGAATGCTTCGCTGTGCTGCACACTCCCCGGCACCATGTACCGCTCTGTGCCCCACCTGGTGCGAAACCTTCCAACTGTGAAACGAAATTTACCTCTCTTCATAAGTCTGTGACCTCAGGCGTTTTACTGCAGTAGTAAAAGAATTACCAGCAAGTTATCTATCCAGTCAAAAAGAAGATGTAAGCTTTCAGACTTTTTTTTTTTTTAATACCAGATGTAAGCCATAAGAGGTATTTTATTTCTAACAGTGTTTTTTTTTTTTTGTTTTTGTTTATTCTCTATCTCATCAATATTACCAAATTCTGAGTGGTTTTATTCTTATGTGGCTTCTGCCAGACACAGTTTCTGGAAGTAGTAATCCATATTAAATGCATATATTATAAATATATATATCACACCAACACAAAGGAGACACAGGGTAGAACTGCGCTCATACCTTCCAAGCTTTGAGTATCGGAGAGATGGAGAGTTCCCCATCAAGAGATGGACGCTTCACTACAGATTTTGCTCATGGATCTAGCCATTGATGACACAGGCTATATCTGATACAGCTGGACAAATATGAATGCCGCCAAATTCTCCCAGCCAGGGTGCATTACTCCCCATTATGAGTTAAATGTGAAGCGTGCCCCAGAGGCTCACGTATGGAGTGCTTGATCCCCAGCGTAGCCATCTTTAGAGGCACAGCCAGAGAGCTGGTTGGCTCATGAAGGCACTGCCGGCCTCAGCCTTCACTGCATGGGTCAGTAAAGTCCAACGGGAAGAGGTATGGCACTGGGGTGTGCCTCAACCTCCTGTCTCTGTCTCTGTCTC